TGGTCAGAAGGCGTGAAGTTTGGGATGGACCCGTGGGTGGAAAATAACGATAGCCAAAACGTCTTCCAAGTCTTGATGGAGAGAGGTAAATTCCATGATTTGAAAACTGTGATCGACGCAAGCATTAACAACGACAGAGAATCTATTCTTACAACTGACAGTAAGGGTAACAGCCTTTTACACAGTTTGTGTAATCACAACGACTCTAGGGTGATTCCATTGATCGATGTTCTACTTAAACGCGGTGCTGTGGTGAATGGACAGAATATGAATGGTGACACCGCCCTTCATATTACCTGTAGGAGAATAGTTAGTCTACCCCAGCGAAAGAGCGACAATTGTGTGCTTCGAAAAGCTGTTTCCAAGCTTCTTGCTTATGGAGCAGACTGTAACTTAACAGACAGAAGAAAGGTTACAGCAAAAAACATTGCACGGCTGGACAAGAAGTTATGGAAGGCCCTTGGTAGAGATGTACGCCAACAAGAGCCACAACCTATTTACCCATGGAAGGAGCAATCGCAAAACCATCATGGGCTGCTGTCTGCCGCTGCCAGGGGACAGAACTGCCAGAAAATTTGGAACTACAGCTACAATCTTCAGCCAATTGGCTCGGGTTCATTTAGTAACGTATTCGCAGGGATTAATGTCGAGGACGGTCGAGAGGTCGCCCTGAAAAGAACTGACCCGTACCGATTGAAAACTCGGCAAGACGATAGAGAAGTAAGCAGTCTTCTCGAGCTGACAGATTGTCCTCATGTTGTGAGGTACATCCATTTTAAAAGAGAGGTTGATTTCACTTGGATCGTTTTAGAACTGATGGAGGGTACGTTGGACGACCTTCTACTTCAGGGAATCGCTCAAGATGTATTTCCAACGCTTTGCATGGATCTCCTGCAGGGAGTCGCGTATCTCCACCGCCACAAAATCTTGCACCGAGATCTCAAGCCCAGCAATGTCCTGTACTCAGGTGTACCCAAGCCATGTCTCAAGATTGCTGACTTTGGACTCAGCAAAAAGCTCGGCGCTGTCCAGGGATCAAGTGTTCTCCACAGCAATGCTGGCTCCAGATTCTGGATGGCCCCTGAGCTGCTGTTGTCAACGGGACACTTACAGCACACCTATGCTTCCGATGTGTTTGCTTGCGGTCTCATAATCCATTACATGCTGGCTGAGAGGCGTCACCCATTTCAAGGAAGTACCTCTCATGGCTGCCTTTCAATTGCTGATTGGAATGCGGTTGAGGCTAACATCTTAACCGGTAGCAAAACGCTGGGTCCAGATCTTTCTGATGAAGGTAAGGACGTACTGGCACGTTTACTAAGTCATGACAGCAAGGACCGGCCAAAGGCATCAGACGTTCTGAAGCGTCCTTTCTTTTGGTCCCAGGACAAAAAGGTTCGGTTCGTTCGTGCAGTGGCTAATCAAAGTGAAATTGGCACTTTTGGGGCATGGGGAACTACGCCTTCTCCAGTAGAGTGGGAAATCGAAACCAACTTGGCGTCTTTGTTCCATCCTAGATGGGATTCCCTTTTTCCAGCCTTGTACGCCGAAATGACATTAAGCTCAAAAGGACGCCCCTATAACACATCATCAGGTGTACATCTTGTGAGATTCATCCGGAATGCCTATGCCCACGTTTCAGATCGATCCCGACCGACCAGTTTTCAGAAACTCCTTCTGGAAGATCGGATCTTCTTTAACAAATTGCCGAGTCTTTTTATGGTGATCTTTAAGGCCGTGGAAAACGGTAACTGGCAAACATCTCGAGAAGAGATTAAATCCGTCATAAATTCAGATGACTAGATTCTTTGTAGCGTCACGGAGAAGTTTGGTTTACAGAGACCGAGTTCATTAAACAATTAAACAGTTGTGTACATTCAGTGAAGGGGAATGCTCAGTAACAGTCTTCATGTCCACTGCCACTAAACTTCTATAACGGGATTTTAAGAACTCTCTGATCAAGCAACCCAGAATTGATTGATGATATAATGATGGTGGTTGTTGCTAACGGTCTTCACGTCTTCTTGAAAGCCTGTAACAATACTTGTGTGACGTGCGTTACGTTACAGCCTCATCTTCAAACACGAGGGGAGGTACGAAGTTGAATTTGTTGTAGTCGTCTCACGGAATATGGCAAATATCACCTCGACCTTGCTATATAGTGGCACTGTAATGGAGGAAACGTCGAACAGTGACTTTTGCCCTAGTTGTTTTCCCTTCAGACCATCAGGAACAGCGCCTTACGTTGAACAGTGTACTGCAGTGTGCTCGACCAAGTGTTTACTTTGAATGTTCACTGACGCTGAATCAGTTTATCTGTCTGTGAAACTCCCCTTATCCCTCAATGTGCTGCTTGACCTTCTCAAGTTGTGAAGTATGCCTTCCGACGACGAGGCTTCAGCTTCTTTAACTCCAGCTTTGCTGAGAACAGCTCATGTGATCCAGCAGAGGGGAAGCGTTCCCTGTCAGGCTGCATACTAACGAAACCGGCCAAATTGAAGGACTACATCCTAACCTGAACAGTTTTGCTCTAGTTTGTGATCAAAGGCTCCATACCAGATCTATCATAGACTGAAACACCATTTTAGTTTGTACTCAAAAACATACTTTTCATTAATATTTGACATTAACAGATGGCTATAGTGGAAGTCTTTTTTTGTTTTTTCCCTTTGTTACTACTTGTTCATCAACTTGTGTTTCTAGTTTTTATTTCAAAAATTGGAGAGCATTTAGTTGCGGCTTGTTACGTGTTTATGTTTTACACCAAGTCTTCTCAAACTTGTTACATGTATTAAACATGCAATGATGAAATAGTGTTACTGTCGCCTCTATTAAAATCTTGGCTTTAGTCTTGAATTATAAATGCCCAAACAAATGCGTTTTTAATCGTTTATATGGCTTTCTTGTGATTTTCTTGAATTTCACAGTTCAACGAATCCAGCGGGATACAAATTTTAAACGCGAAAAAGGTAGGATTTGAACAAGCAGTTTCGTTCGACAAAACAATCCGTGAACGAAAGAAATATTTATGGAAGGTCATTGTGTAGCAAGGGAAAAGGAAAACTAGGAAAAGTAGAACGGCAGACAGCAAAAGTATTTTGCATTGTGATTTTGAGGTTTCCTCGCGTGCCCTGGTCGTTATTGTGATTCGTTAGTACACAATTCACCTGTCAAAATCAAATCAAAGTGTTCATATTTTTTTGACTCGCGCAGTAAAGTACGGTTACTTTATCGTGGCCGTCTAACATTTTTCTGACCCTTTAGACAATTATGGTTATGGGAAGGTGAATTTCTTGAAACCATCTGGGTCCAGCCGAAGACTCAGATTTTTTAAAACTTTTTTTCGATCTTACGATCATGAAAATTTCGAACTTCTCCATTGGGTTGGGAGAAACAAGAATGCGTGTAATAGAAGTCTTATTCGACTTTGTTGCCACACATCGGGTAGCCACCGCTTCATGAAAAAAACAAAAACAAAAACAAACAACAACAACAAAAAAAGAAACAAATTAGCGATTCGACATTGCGATCCCTGTCATTTTATGAACGTTATGTTGCATTTCTAGCCCATCCTTGTTCTATGAGCAAGAATGGAACAATTTTGTCAAATCGCTCCCGAACCTTACATAGGCAGTATGGAAATAAAACAGTTGTCACCGAGAGCAGACCATGAGACTTAAATTGATAGATTCTTCTCTATATCATCCTCGAAATTCATCTAATTCGGATGCCTCAGTAGCGTCTTAGACCCAGTCCAAATGTTGTGCTTCTGCCGTGCTTAACTAAAGTCAATTTGGCCGGCAGTGGCATGACAAAAGACCAGCGGTGGTTTCAAACGTTGAATTTAATTCAGTCGTGCTGAAGATCGGAAGATGTTTGCTTTGCTGAAGACCATTTTAAATGCTAGAAAGCAACGGCAGCTGATGCATCAGGCTATGAATTGAGTTCTGCACGGCAAGAGCACGCCGTTCAAAGCCAAGTCACCCTACTGCCGTGTGGCACGGCAAGGTCTGCTGTGCTAAGTTCTTAATTTTGCCTGCCGAACTGCATGGTTTCAAACGTCGTGCTACTGTCTGTTAATTCGGCACGGCAGTAGTACAACGTTTGGAGTAGGCCTTAGGAACCCGTCTCCTGATCATGACTTGACGATAATAATGACGCCACAAAATGTCCAACACATTGCGGTAAAAAACTTCTCGTCCCGAGAGCTCACATTTCAAGAACGCGGACTCCCCTAAGTTTGACATTTTAAAGCATGCGCAAAGTATTCATTTTTAAATGTGATCTAATCACCTTTGAGAACGAAACAACTGAAAGTCCGGCAAAGGAGGACTTTCATGTAGGACTTCGCCAGAGCTCGCGTTCTTGGAAGTGACCAAGAGGAAATAAGTTATGGTTTGAGTGGCATTTGAGTTTTGAACATTTTCTGACGCCTCCCTCATGTACAAAAAAAAAAAAAGAAAGAAAGAAAAAAAAAGTTTGAGGAAATTTTTGAGGTATGAATGATAAGCCTGCAAAATTGGAGAAAGCCTAGTGTGATCAGGTGAGAGTATTCCTGAAAAGGACTGATGCTAGTGGCTGACATCTCGACAACCTGATCGGCAGTAATTATCATGCCAGCGAATAAAACCGTTCTTTTGTCAGTGTTACGTTTCTGGTCCTTGAAATATGCCTAATCTGCAAGTACATTTATGATGAATTCTTCATTTCCCACCCTATCTGCAGTTCATATGTGATCTCATTCATATACGTAAGTCCGCATTTCTTTTATTAGGGAAACAATAATATACTCTAAATCTTTCTATAAAATCTTATGTTGTTAAACAAACA